CAGAGGAGAGATGCAAGTAGAGACGGATGGCATGACACAAAAGAAAGGCAGCTCCAAGTCAAAAAGGTCAGGAAAGGCAAAGAAGATAACATGAAAACAAGGGAAAAAAAGAATCATAGAAGTAGGGCTGGAAGAACTCCCAGGAGGTCTGGTCAACCCCCCGATCAAGGTATGATCGTCCTTATTTAACCTATCCTACAAAAGTGTCTGTGTAAACTGTGCTTAAAAACTGCATAAACAACTACACACAAAACCCCCAAGAACACCCTAAGTGGCCACAGTGGGGCACTGACAATTTCCTGCCACTGCACGGGCAGGCCTATTTGTTGCCCACCAGGAGCTGTGGACCTGGCCCAAGCAGAAACAGTGGCCCCTCTAACAGCAGAACTACTTGTTCATCTCTAAAAGAAAACATGGGCCTAGCCCACCAGGTTGCTCATCGGCCTCCCTGAGGTGGGGAGGCCACAAGAAAGGTGATAACAGAATGGAACAGGTGGAACAAACAATGAAAAAAACAGGGACAGGAGTTCAGGTGAGAGGTTCATATTAAGCGCGCCCAGTGGGGACACCGAGCACAGCACACCGGACAGCGCCCACTGGCCCTCAAGGAGCTGGTGGATGCTGCTCAGGGGTACTCTCGGGAACGGATGAGGGAAAGGAGATGGGCCCTCCCAGCCACAGCCTCCTTCCTGGTCAAGCACGTGGCCAGCTTGGGCAGGAGGAGGTTGACCAGGAGGTCCCGGGCCTGGGTGGGGCCACGGACAGAGAGTGCGTAAATAAAAAGGTGCGGGGAACCTCAATAAGAGGCTGGGCCGGGTCGGCGTGCACCAGGGTCCCTCTCGGCACACAAAGGGGGCAGGCAACAGAGGCATCCACGAAACATGCCGGTGGCGTGCAGATGACAGTGGAGCACCCCCCTAACAGACAGGCTAATGAAGGGGAACAAGAGTGCTCCAGACACGGACACGCTGTGAAACCAGGAAACCACCGTAATGACGAACACCGGAGACACCCTGGGAGGAGGCCCGCGCCCCCCCCCCGCACAACTGCCCGATCTGACCCGGGGCCGGCTCCTCCCTGGCCCCCACCTGCGCGGGGCGGCCCGGGCCTGAGGGGTGGGGCGGACCCTGAGCCAGGAAGCCCGGGGTGGGGGGGAGCACTCACTGCATTGCGCGATGCGCTGCACGTTGCCGCTGCAGGTCTGGATGATGCCGCCGAAGTCGCGGGGCGGCCCCGGCGCGGGG